AAACACACACACACACACACACACACAAAAAAAAAAAAAAAAAACCCTCTGGTTCAGGCTGGAGAGACGGCTCAGAGGTTAAGAGCACCTACTGCTCTTCCAGAGGACCTGAGTTCAATTCCCAGCAACCACATGGTGGCTCACAACCATCTGTAATGAGATCTGGCACCCTCCTCTGTATACATAATAAATAAATAAATCTTAAAAGAAAAAAAAAGACTACTCAAAACCTCTGGTTCAGTGGCTCTCAAAGACAGCCACAGAAGGCACACAACTAAACCTCTCCTGCGGATTCCGGCAAGCACTGTGTTTTGAGAACCATTGCCCTACGCAGCCATTCTGTGAACCACGCTAGGGGTGCCTGAGCCCTGGAGAGACGAGGCTCACTGACGGGGCTCACTGACCGGTGACAACATTCAACACCTCATTTTGTTCTCACACATCCAGCTGCGTAAGGACGAGAGTAGGAGGACAGGGCCTTGGAGGGGGATGTCTGTGAGTCACGAAGAGGAGGGGAATCCGTGGAAGGACATGCTGTCAGTGCTACCTACCCACAGGCTCTGGGGTCTCACGCATGAACGCTATCTTATTGTGGAGCTGCAAGTGAGGAGACGGAGGCCCAAGCCTGCTGGTTCCAGCCATGGCCACCCCGGGCGTCCCCACCTGGGTCTCACACACGAGGTCTCCAGAGTATCTGAGTGGGGTCTCTCCGGAGCTTCACTCTTCCGGGGTGATTCTACCAACAGGCCCTGATGAGGGAAACCTCTCCATCTTCCTTCTCCTCTCTCTCCAACCAGGCTGCTTATCCTTCCTTCACTGGTGTGTGTGCTTGACCCAGGGCCTTGTGCATGCTAAGAGCTGCATCCCCAGCTCCAGGTACTCATTTTCTGCCCGTGATTTTTTAACTCTCAGGCATGTCAGGGGGTCAGATCCGCCTCTATCCCCAGGATCTGGCTGGGCTGTGGGCAGTCCCGTGGAGGAGGGCACAGCTCTCTTCTCGGTGGGCACCTTTACCGGGGACTCCAGGGAAGTCGGGCTGCAGACGACTCTCTGCCTCGGCTTGTCTGCACACACCCCCCTCCAAGCCCCAGTCAGGGGGGTCCCAAGGGGAGGGGGGCTGCCGAGCTGAGAACAGCTAATGAAGCTGCAGCCAATTAACGCCCGGGCCAGGGTTGGGGGCGGATAAAATTAGCAGCCGAGGCTGCAGGAGGGAGCTGGAGGCGGAGGTGGAGAGGGTGGGCAGCTGGCTGGAGGGGGCTCTTGGCTGCCGGCGGCTACCAGCGGCGGCTCTGCCCCGCCCTCCAAACCTGCACCCGTCCGTCCCTTCCCCCATCACCTCATCCCGAGGCTCCCTCCCTCCCGCCCTCATCCGTCTGCAAACTCAGCGCCCACGAAATTAGGAAGGAAAAGGAAGATCGATGACTCCAGATGCCGCCAACACCGTCCCCCTTCCCTCCCAGCCTTCCGCTTCCCTCCAGCCTCGTGGAGCTTAGCGGGTTCCCAGCCCTGTCCCCGCTTCTCCGTCCCATTCGCGGTCTTGAACCTCCTTCTCCCCCTAAGTCTCCCAAATACACGGCCGGAAGTCCCACCTTAGGTCTAACCCCCATCCTGTCCTGCCTCCACTAACACTCACCCACCCGCCTTAGAAAGAGGATCTGCACCTGGGCTGACGTTTACCCATGGGTCGGTCCCTCCCCTCGATCAGGTCTCAAATGGACCCGAGGTGCTGGGCCTGTCGGTCTTTGCCTCGGTTTCCCCAACAGCCGCCAAGGAAGGAGGCCTTGGCTCAGCCTCCACCGGATAAAAACCCACACCTGCCCGCCCCCCACCCCACCCCCTTCCCTGCAAAGGTCTCACACAGGCGAGTATTGGATTTCGCTTTATTTTGTTCCCTTTCCCGTCTGTTTTGGCGTAGAAAAAAGAAAAAAAAAAATATATCACCGAGAGGAAGCGGCCAGAGAGGGCAGGTGGAGCCGGACTGCGGGCGGGCGAGCCGGGGAGGGAGGGAGTGGGGGGCAGAGCGCGGGGCCAGGCAGGGACCCCCTGCTCAGGGTTGTTTTTTTTGCTTCACTGAGGTTTGGAGGGAGAAGGGGGACCGACGTAGGGCGCGCAGGGAGGGAAGGGACGAGATGGGCGTGGAGACTTTGACAGTCTGGCGGGGCGGACGGGGTAAGAAAGGGGGGCCGGGCCAGGCGTCGCTAAACCGCAGGGTGGGCGCAAAGGGGGGACCCCAAGCGGGCCTCCAGGCCCCGCCCACTCTGGGGCTGTGCTCCGGCCCCTCGGGTTTAGACGACCCCAGCCTCGGGGACCCTCGGGGGCCAAAAGGGAGTGGAGACCCGCGCTGGCCAGCGGTCCCGGGGAAAGGCTGTTTTCCTCCACCGGACCCACAGTGGGAGAAGTGGGGGGCGGCGGGGGGGGCAGTCACAGGGACACGGGGTGTGAGTGTGTACAGGGAAGGGTCCCACCTCGGGAGGCTGCAGCCTGGTGGGGAAGCTCGGGGCGGGGGGCGCTCAGGACAGGCAGGGGCGCTATCCAAAGTAGGGGTGCTCGCTCTGGAAGTTATAGTCTGGGCACACCTTCTGCACCAGTTTGTAGTCAAAACTGAGGAAGGAGACGAAGATGCAGATGACTTTGAAGGGCTTGGCGCAGAGCCAGGCGGCCTGGCTCTGCGTGTGCTCGGTGAAGCACACTTGTGACGGGTCGTACAGGCACGGCCGGTGCTTGCGGGCGCGGTTGGTCTTCTCGTACTCCACGTGGCAGTTAAAGGCGCGCGACTCCTTGGCCCCCGGCACGCCCAGCGCGCCCCCGAGGGGCCCGGCCAGGGCGCCCCCCAGGTGGTGGCCCCCCAGCCCCTGCCCCGCCACCCCCAGAGGGGGCCCCAGTCCGGGGAGCACCCCTTCCAGGGCCAGCGTGGATTGCAGAGGGTGGGGGGCGGGCCCGGGCAGCCAGACGCCCCCGAACTCCACCCGCTTGGAAGGCGGCACGATGCTGACGCTCAGGTTACCCAAGCTGGACGAATTGTGGCGGAAGTAGACGCTGAAGGTGCCGTTCACGTGGTCCACGATCTTGCCCGTCACCAGCAGCGAGAACTTGAGGGTGTGCACGCGGAAGTAGAAGTCCCCCCAGCCGAAGATCTTCTTGGCGCGGGCCGCTTTGATGGACGGCTTCCTCTTGGTGCGCGGCGGCGCGGGTCCCGGCTTGGCCAGCGCCCCGGTGTGGTTAGAGGGCCAGGCCCAGCTCCAGGAGCGCGCCGTGCCCAGGCCCTCGGAAGACCCGGGCGCCGGGAGCTCTTGGCTGCGGGCGCCCCCTCCGGCCACCACGGCGGGTCGCAGTTCCAGATACTGCGGCCTTCCGGACTCGGCGATCTGGCCGCCCGCCGCCTGTGTGGGCAGAAAGGGGAGAGAGACGCTAGGCTGGGCCGGCCGCAGCCGGGGCTCAGGGGTGTGTTTGGGGTCGGTCCTTGGAGACCTTGGCCAGCTCTGCCCACGTCACTTCACCTAGGTGTCTGGACCCCTAGCTTTTTATACCTGTGAAAATGACCTGATGGATCCCTGGGTGGACGCAGGGCTCAAAAGACAAAGCCAGCTTTGGTGTGGGTGGGAAAAGGGAGAGACCCTTTCTGGATAGTCGTCTGGCCTTGTGGTGTTCCCAGTGATGGGCCTGACTGTGGCATCCTCAACACCCAGCATCAGGAAAGAGCTGGCTTCTGCAGAGACCAGCTCCTTCCTTCCCGGAGGGGCCTCTAAGAACCAGCTGAGCAGGGAAGACTCCCAGACCACGGGGCCGAATAAAGGGGCACTCCTCCTGTTCCCACCCCTGGGCTTGGAGGACCTGGCGGAGTCACCCTGCCTGCCCACCTTGCTAGCCTGTCTCAGGTGGCGGGGACCTGGGAGACGACGCCACTGATGCCAGTCAGTGCAAGACGGATGGAGAGGCGGGAGCGGCCCGGCCAGGCCTGGGCCATCAATTATCTTGGGGTGTGTGTGGAGGGGGTGGCCGGGAGTGAAGGAGCTGGGAGAGAGCGACAGGAGAGTGAGAAGAAGAAATATGGAGATGCCGCCGCTCCAGCACAGGGAGCCAGCGAGCGAGCGGGAGGGGAGAGGAGCGTGTCAGTGTGTGTCAGTCAGCCGGGGCTAGACACACCACCACGGGGAGCAGGGCCCTGCCTGCCTGCACGTCCCCTGGGAAAGGCAGGTCTGTGTGTGCCTGGGGTGGGGGTTATCCTGAAAGGGATGTGTGTCCATGTGTTCAGTCGGTGACGGCTGTGCGTGCGATTGTGTCGATTCTCTGTGTGTATGTGCCTGTGTGCCTAATGTACATCATCAGCAAGAGGCTCTGTGGGTGTTCCCATCTACTTGTGGCTGCCTGTCGATGGATTGTGTCGATTGATTGTGTATTTGTGCCTGGGTTACCTGGGAGCTGGGGGTGGCGGTGCGGGGGTATGCTTATGTCCCAATCTCTGTGTGTGAAGCTGTGTGTCGATTTGTGTGTGTGTGTGTGTCTGTGTGTGTGTCTGTGTCTGTGCCTGTGTGCAGGGTGGCTGTGTGGTTGTCTAGATATATCATTTTCTCTGTATGAATCCCTGTCACCCGCCCCGTGGGTCGGGGTCTGAGGGGGTGTCTCCACAGTGACAGTGGTCTGTGTTCACACCACAGGAATGAGTGTGCACACGCTGTGTATGGATGCCAGGCATGCTGACTTGCAGGCTGGGAACAGAGGGGGTAAAGGGCCCCCCCCGGAAGCGTGGGTGACCCCTCTGTGTGTATACACCCGAGGGGTCCATACCCCGTGCCCACAGGGGACAAGGATGGCAGAGCTGGGCAGAGCTGGGTTAGACTCCCACTGCCTGGTCTCCGTCCCTCCCTGCAGCACCGCCGAGATCCCAGGTTATTAATGCTGCCGCCACCCGCTCGTCATACATATTTATCGCCCCCCTCATCCCTTCTCCCATCCAGCCCTCCTCCCAACCCAGGTGAGGGGGGCGGGGGGGGGGGTAGTGGTGGTGGCAAGAGTGATTGACTCAGACAGACAAGCTTGATCTGGCATCTGACACCCGGAGGGGACACCTGGGCAGGGCAGGGTGGGGGTGGGGGAGGCAAGGAAGAAGCCCTGGGGGTGGGGGGTGGGACTGAACCCCAGGCAGGGGGTTGGAGGTGGAGGTGGGTGAGGCTTCCAGGAAAGCAAAGTGTGTGGTCTTAACCCTAATCTCTCCCCCTCTGGCCCAAACCTCTCCTATTTCCAGTGAAGTCCGGATTCCCAGCCAGCCCAGCCTTCTCCCCCCGCCCCCCCAAAGCTGCTCCATGCTAGGATGCCAAATGCCTCCAGCTATGACTTCCCGAGACGTCCTAGCACTCTGTGTCCTGCACCCAGCCTGGGACTGCTCAGGGTGGTAGGCTCCATCGTCTCCGTCTCCTCGGAGGAAGGAAGGGGTGGGGTGAAAATGAGGTTTGGCGGGGCAGGGAGAGGTGCCAGGATGTCCCCCCACCTCTGATCCCAGACAAATTGCTGTCTGCTTCTGTGATCCTGGCAAATCCCTGAGCTTTGGTGCCCAGAGCCCCCCCCCCCACTGCTGGAGACAGCTAAGATAAAAGGAAGAGTCGAGTCGGGGGAGGCAGCCGAAGCGACCTTGGGGGTGGGGAGCTCGGACCAGGAGGGGCGCGAGTCTGAGAGGAAACGAGCCGAGAAATGGGAACATGGAATAAAATAAAATAAAATCCTCCCTCTGGCTTCCTTGATCGCTCAGGCTCTCTCTCTCTCTCTCCTTCACTGTTTTTTCATCTCTCTCTCCCCCCCACTCTTTTCTCAATCTCTGTCTCGGTGTCTTCCTCTACTCTGTCTCTAATTTCCAGTTTGGGAGATGCCCCCACCCGGTGACATTTCTGCCTCTCTGATCCTAGCTCTCTCCTTCGGCCCTGGTTGTCAGTCTCCAGCAGTAGATTGGGAGCGGAGGATTGGGGGCGGGCGGGGGGGGGGGGGGGTGACAAGGTGTGGTGAGGGAGCCTCTTTTTGCCAGAGCCCAGCCCAGCCCCCAGTGACGGAGGGCCTGAGTGGGGGTGATGTTGTCCAAAGGAGGGAACACCCCCAACTTGAAAGCTAGTTTAATTAAACTAATTGGGCGCGGTGACATTTGCAGAGGGGAGAGGCTAGCCGGCGGGTTGTCAGCTGGGGTGGGAGGTAGAGGTGTGTGCTGGTTGAGCCTGGGCTTAGAGCAGACTCCTCCAGGCCCGTTCCGGAGGAACACAGCCAGGAACACTTTGCCCCAAGGCAGCGGGCCCACGCACCTGAGGGGGAGTTGAGGCCACCTCCCGATGCTCAGCAAACTCCACCGGGGCGGGGAGGCAGGGGCTCTTTGGGGACAGGACTGCTGGGGGAATCGGGAGGGCGGACCCGGCTGTCAGGGCCCCTCAGTCGCCGCATTGCGGGGTGCACCTCCCCTGGGCCTCCAGAGGAGTCCTTGGCTTCCTCTTCCCTGCGGGTCAGGAGGAGCTTAGGATGGATCAGGGGAGGCCGCAGCACCCCTGTGTTTGGGGGAAGGAACAGTTTAGGCCCGGGGTTGGGGAAGCCAGCAAAGGGGCTAACTGAGTCCTTGTAAGTAGAGGACCGTTGTCACTGCAGTCCGGCTGGCCAGGGTGGGGTGAAGTCTGGCTGGGAGCTGGGTGTGATCAAGGCTGTGGGGGGGTGGGGTGGGGAGTGGGGGGGCAGGGAAGGGGTTGGCTAGGACAGGCAGAGGTGACTACTAGGGCAGAGATGGACTGGGCCTACCTAGGACTGGGTACTGGGCTGGTGGTAGAGATGGGGATGCCACAGGGAGAGACCTGGGGGCCAAGAAGGAAGGGAGGAAACGGTGACTAGGTGTTGGGGTGGAGACTTAGGCGTGGGTGGGCCAGGGACCGGAAGGATGGAGATGGGGTGTGGGAGAGGACAGGCGTGACCAATGACAAACTGGAGACTGGCTGGCATGAGGACGACGGGACAGGGAGACCGTGATGGGGACAGGCTGGGGCAGAGGGGAAAGGAGGCTATGAAGTGGAAACAAGGTTGCTGGTGGAGAGGACCTAGGAGATGGGGTGCGGCTGGGGGGGGGGGAGCCCCGGGGACTGGAACGGGCACTAGGGGACCAGGAAAGTGATAGGACATATGGATGGGGACAGGCGCTTGAGGACAAGTATTCAGAGGAGAAAAAGGCCGCAGGCCGACCTGGGGATCAAGTTTGGGAGGGGGCCCGGGCAAGCGGAGGCACAGGGACCTCTTCAGACGCGACAACCGAGCAGGGATGAGGGCCTGCCCAGCCCGGCGGGGTGGGCTCTGTCCTTGGGCCGGCCGCCCTCTCCCCCCGCAGCCCGCCCCACCCGCCCGCTCGCCCGCCCGCGGCCTGCAGCGCGCAAGGCTCACCGTTATCTGAATTTTGATTTTATTTTATTTTATTTTATTTCCCTGCTTCCTAGAGCCGGCGCGGTCCCCCCGGGAACGGCCGCTCTCCCCCCCCCCCGCCCCCCGCCCCGCGCCTCACTTTATTATTGCAATAAATGTGCCTATAAAGGCGCCGGCTCCGGGGCGCGGTGGGGGTGGGGGGGGAGCCGCGGAGCGAGCGAGCGGGGATGTAATTTCCCGAAGCCTGAGCCGGAGGGGGAGTGGGCGGGGTGGAGGTGGAGGAGGGGCGGGCGTGGGGAGAAGGGGAGCCTCGCCAATTTCCAGTGCTCAAGGCCGCCCGCCCGCCGCACTCCCACTCCTTACCCCGGTTCCTTTCCCTCCTCCTGTAGTCTGTCCTGGGATCCCCCCTGGAGCTTGAGCCTCGGGCCTCTCCACTGCGACCTGACCCCCCCCCCCCATTAACCCCGGCCCCAGGCCCGCGCCTACACCGACGACTCACAGGGGCTCTCTCCCGGTTCAAAGTTCCCTAGCTCCCTGCCAATCACTCCATCCCTGACCCCTTACCTGCCAGTCTTCCAAGGATTATCTCCCGCCCCTCTCCAAGTGTGGGTCCCTGACCCCCGTGACTCTTCTTGGCTCTCCCTATCACCACCAAATCTCTTCTCTATCTAGCCCAACCGTGACCCTCTGTAAATCCTCCCTTCCAACAGCACCCCTCCCATTCGGGATGTGAGGCTTGGCTGCAAGCTCTGGCCCAAGGGAACTGTCACTGTAGACCACCCCCCCCCCTCCTCCTCCAGTGTCCCTGGCCCAGCTGCGGCCCCTGATTACCGCCCCCAAATCCCAGGCAGCAGCTCTGGGCCCAAGCCCAGGCTGCGCGTGCCTAAGTGGCCCAGCCAGAGATTAGCTAGGGGGCTTTAGGAGGGTATGGAGGTAGGGAGGCTGCTGCGGGGTGGTGGTGGTTGGCACAAGGGTTGTAGCTGGCCTGGGCGGAGAGACTTGCATGGGTCTAATCTCTTCCCTGAGGCAGGAGAGAGCTGAGAGGTCCCCCCAGGCTTCCCCACCCCTGCCCTCCCCCAGCTAATTAGTAATTAGTGATTAGTGATTAGTGACTATTGATCGCCTGCTGTTTCTCCCAGTAGGCAGCTGCGTTGGCAAGGGGTGAGTAAAGAAGGCAGAGAGCAGACAGAAAGGAGTGGAAGACCCTGAAGAGGCCAGGCCCGCCAAGAGGCCAGAGCCCCTGGGGCAGTGGAAGCCCAGAGTGCCAGACCCTGAGAGGAGTCTCAGGAGCCTGGAAGCGAGGAAGCAGAGAGCCTCTGAGGGAAGGTAGGGCTGGCGGTATTGAGCTTTCCCAGATCTGTGCCCACCAGCTCTCCTCTCGGGGCCCGGCTCACCTTTTGCTCACCCCCAACACTGGCATCAAGCTACCCCCGAATGAGGGCACACTCAGGAATGCCACATGTTTACATTCAGGTGTGCGGACACATCCGAGGCTCACAATCCATGCTCACACTCAGCTGGACTCAAAGCCATGAACACACACACACACACACACCACAAATAGACACTCATAAACCCAGACTCACAGGCAAACAACAGATGTGCCCCAGCATGCAAATACATCAGAGACACCCCCCCCGGGGGGGGGCGTCTATACATGTGCACACATCCTGCTCACAAGTCCATCCGAGGACACCTCTCTTCACACAATCTCCCCCTAGGCCAAGTTACACACACTCGCACACCCCACGCCACGTAAGACAGAGATTCTCACATGTCCACAGGCTGGACCAAATGGCAGAGAGGCACTTCCCTGCTGATTCCGACACAGTCACCCACAGCTGCCTGCCGCGATCTCACGATCTCACGGGCAGACAGATCCCATCTCTCATATCCTCATCCTTGCTCTCCCTCAAGTCTCTGCCAGATGTTTCAATTCCCCTTCAGGGGGCAAAGGAAATTAAACCAGATCTGTCCACAGGGGAGTTAATTTGATGGGGGAGAGAGTGGAGACCGTGGGGGGGTGGGGAGGGGGATCAGGGCATGGGTATCTCTCCCTCCTCTATGACCCCAGGCCTTCACGCGCTGTGGATTTGGACCTGATCCTCTCCTGCAGCCTTCCTGGGGTGAAACCAGGACCTCAGGTTCAAAGGAAGCTCCCACCAGAGGTAGCAATTTTCACACAGTGGGCGCCCCCACCTCCCCAGCTTCCACCCTATCAAGGTCACTAGGCAGGCGGGCTTGGGAGAGTCAGAGGGCTCTCCTAGCTCGCTGGGGTGCTCTCCACCCTACTGCAGTTGTTGAGGACACCCCCAGGGGTTTTTAGAGAATGATTTGCTTCTTCTGGACGCTCTTAATTAGGGGCTGGCGACGGAGGTCCAAGAGTGATGGCTATGGAGCCACCTGCTTGCCCTTAAACTAGGTAGGTCATAGTTGGGAACGGAAGAAGTTGGGGGGCCAGGGTCTAGACCACCCTGTGGATCACATCCCAAGGCACTGTGGACAGGCAGCCGGCACACAGACGTTCACTCTGGGCCCCCGGTGCTGAACACCAATCCTGGGTTCCCTGGACACATGCTAGCACCCAGGGGCCGGTGGGTGTGAAAGCCACACACTCCACCACGGCATGCAGGACCACACCATGTATATATGAGCTGACGATGATTTCAAGTACAGAGGCCGGTAGGATGAGATCTGGGCCCTTTTCAGCCTTTGGGTCTTCGCCCTCCCCCCACCCCCCAAAAAAACCCGGAAAAGAGTCAGTGAAGAAGGGTGGGGGCAGGGAGGAGGTGGAAGGAGAGACCCCCCTTCCAGACAGCCCCCCATCCACCGGGCGCGAAAGGGGGGTGTGTCTGTGAGGTTGTGCAGGGGAGATGGCGTCTCCGCGGGAAATGGGATGGGGGACTGTAGCCAAGTTCGGCCCTGCTGGTGTGGGTCGGTGTGAGCGCGTGTGCCTGGGCCGTGCATGCTCGGATCGCCGAGCCTACCTGGCATCGCGACAAGTAAGGAGAAGAGAAATGGCAAGGTAGGGAGAGGGTGAGGGGTGGAAGGACAGACAGAGAGGGAGGCTAGGCTCACACCCTCTGGCTTGTCTGTCTGTCTCGCACTCCTTTCCCTGTCTGGCGCACTCACTCCTCGCGGGTCGCGCTTCGTCCCCTCCCCCACGTCGCGCCTGGAGCCGATCGGAGCCCGGGGGTGGGGTGGGGGGAGCCTGCACCCCGCACCCCCTGCTAACCCTCAGCCAACTTGCCGCTGGGCGTGTGCCAGTCCCGAAGCGGGCAGTCTGTCTGTCCGCGTCCCCCCACGACGCACAAAGTTGGGACGCTTAGTGCTGGGGGCGGGGCGGACGCACCCGAGCCCCTTGGCACACGCGGGGGATGGTGGGGGGGGTGTCTCCGCACCCGGGACCCCCGTGCCTCGGCTCTGCCACCCTTACCTTCCTAAGGAGCCACGGACCAAAGAGCAAGAGGAGCCATTCCGGGAGCAGCCGCATCTTCCCGGGCGGGCGGGCGAGCGGGTCGGCGGGTCGGGCAGGGCGGGTCCCGGG